GGAATCGGGCTGAGTGCTGGACTCTGGACCTGTTTGGAAGAGGGGGCAGGAAGGCAATAGGACATGACAAGGCATTATTTTGTAGTACATCTATGTTATTACCTTCATGCTTTGGAGGAAAAAGGCTGTAGGAGACAGTGATGGATAAATGGTTCTTTTTGCATTAATACCATTCTGAGAGCTCATAGCTGGACTCCAGTATTCCTCCCAGGGAGAAAGACAATCCTAACTGTCTGGGCTAGCCATGAGGACAGAAGGATACAAGTTAGAAGCTGCTCTAACCTACAGGGTCATCAGAACCAATTTCCAGGATAAGGAGAATCACAGAACCTTGGTCATTGCCTCTGGCTTCCTACAAAGGAAGCACAGCTCTTTTGCAGGAATGAGGATAGATCAGAGTGGCTGTTCTTTCTGAAGCTATAGATCATACATCTACTTGTGCAGAAATCCCAGACATAAAGATTTGGAGAAATACTAGCTATTTGAAAATTTTGAGGTAATGCAAGGGTGTTCTTCATATGTTTCCTGGAAGGGGTTGTTAACGTACTCTTCCGCCTACATGGGATTTTTATTCAATCCATCTTTGGACTGGAAGGGTAATGTTGTTTTTAGATAATAGAAGATTGGGAGGCCCCATCTGTAGAGGGAAGGATCACAGTACTGTAGCAGAGGACTGAGCTGATGGTGAAACCTGCAGTGATTAAAATCAAGATGAAATTCAGTAGCAGCAACTGTACTGTCTGTACCGACAACCCCCTTACAGGTGGGGTATTGTAAAAGTAGTTTCTGCTCTAAGCATTAATTAGGAAGGACAGAGGTAGACAGACATCCTGGTGTATTAGTTGATGATGAGATAAGGTTGATGCAGAAATATGAATTCAACAACATGCAGTGGGGTATTTCCAATACAGAAATAAAGTAAAAATTCACAATGTAGTAGTGAGACTCCTGTGATGTTGTGTACAGTCTTCAGGAAAGATTAATTAAACCTGGAAGAAGAGCTAAGAAGGGCATCCAGAGCTGAGACTAAAAGATTTGGGCATGCTTATCCTGGGGAAAAAAAAAAAAATCTGTGTGGGGCTAGTGCTGTTGTCTACAACAGAAGTGAGGATGATGAGAGAAAAGTGATAAAGCTAAAGGAAAATAATGGCTAGTGCGAAAGTGAGTAGAAACTGAATAAAAATAAATGCAAGCAGGAAATAAAGAATAAATATGTAATAAAATTAATAATACTAAGAACAAAAAATATATCTGCATAGCTGGGGAGTGGGATTGAAGGCAAAAAAACCCCAGACGCTAACTGCTTTTGTGGCCTCCTTTGCTGATGAAAATTCCAGAGCAGTTGCTTTACGATGGGTTCAATCTCTCTTTTTTTTTTTTTTTTGGTTTCCCAGCATTGATCAAGTAGCCTGGTTATATGTAAGTAGATATTTAACTCAGCATGAGCTATCCTTTGTTGGGGCACCCTGGAGTATCACTCCTTTCATGCCAGTGTCAGGTGTGTGAACCATCTCCAACTGCATTGACTGAATCTGCAGAATGGTATCTCTGTCTTTGTCTACTCCAGGTACTTCGAGTATTATAAAAATCCAATGGAGCAGATGCACGAGCGCTGTGAAAATTATCCTCCCTGTGACTATCTCTCTGACCAAATAGGATTTTCCTTGGCCTACAACCGTTTCTTTGGGAGATACTAAGGATGGGAAAGTCTCTTCATTTGTTTGGCTTGGAACACTCTGAGCCCCACTGGAGAAAGAAGGTTGTGGGTGGGAAGGAAGGAAGAAAAATATCTAGACTGGCATCTACTTTCATTGTCTCCTTAACCAGCTGGAATGCAAGGCAGTAATTATCCTACTTGTTGAGCTTGCATTAGGTTTCTTCCTTTCATCTAAAAAAGTCTCTCTTTAGAGAGACCATGTTATTTTGAGCTTCACCAGAAGACTCTGTCTTGCCTCCTTCCATCTGAATCCCCAGGACACAATAGGTGAAAAAAATGGTGATTGGTCTCAAGAAAATCATTGCATGCCTTAGAAACAAAACTAGACCTCTTGTCCTTTTCTGAAAAATGCAGGGAGATTGTAGAAGAATGTCCCAGTTATGATGTTGTTACACAATGTGTGTAAATGTGATGGATCTGATCCTGGGATGCTCACTGGGAAGAACGAAGAACAGCCACCTCCTGTTAGAATTACTGGAAAGTTTCGTATTTTCACATAGTATAATTTCACAAAGCATGCATCACAGTAGGATCACTTTGTAAAGATAGAAGTGGGCAAATACTGTTGCAGAGACAGAAAGCAGGTTCCGGTACACTCTTCTGATTATTCTGTCACAAAATTTGCCAGTATAGCATCAACAAAGAAATCCCCAAAGGAATGTTTAAGGAGCGTTTCCTCCTTTTAGATGAGCTCTTCCATTTGTACACTGTATCCGGTGACTGTCTGTAAAAAGCAACTTGGAAATCTCTTGTTTGGTTGGTTTTTTTAACTGGTTTCTGGTGAAACTGAACATACCCGGGCAGAACAAAAAAAACCCCAACCTGTTCCTCTCTAATGCTATTGCATTTATGCTTGAAACTATAAGTGTCTAAGCGGCTAAAAAAAAAAAAAAAAGGTTATGGAATAAACAGAAAGAAAATTGATTCAAGAATGTATTGAAGTTGGGTCAGCATTTCATTTATTCAAGACAACTTGTATCTAAATATATATATAATGTATGTGTGTATTTATATACATCTTGTCTTCCCTCTGCACTACTTCATTCTGTCCTCTGGTATTAGTGTTATACCTTAGCACTTTCTGCACAGCCTTCCTTAATATGCTCTGTCAGCTTTCCTTCCCTGAGAGGTAGATGGCAGATCACACCTGCAAGGAAAAGGACTGCTGATCCTCAGCAGACTGACAGAGATCAAGTCTCTTGTTACGTGTAAGCTGGTGCAACCATCCTCAGCTGCAGATTGCAATAAACACTGCTTATGAAAGCAGGTCGGTGTGCTGCTTCTCTCTGTTTCTCTGTACAACCTTTACCTGTGGTTAAAAAGATGCCTGGAAGGTACAGCCTGCTTTTGTGAACCCTAAGGAGCAGGAATCCAGTGCATGAGTCTTCCTCCTCTCCTCCCGTGCCCCAGTGTGAATCAGAAGTGATTACATCGAAATTCAGGTTGTAGTTCCAGCACTCAGTGATAGTGAGGGAAAGAAGGTCCAGGTTTTTCCTGGTTCACCATCTACCCAGTTCAGTGTTTCTTTGAAAGACCTTGCCCTGAAGTAAGGACACAGGATAAATCCTCAGAGATGGCTGCCAGCAGGAGTGTGAGCGTGTCGTTTGGCAAGCTGCTGTGACTTGTACCAGTTGTGCTGATCTTGGCCAAAGGGAAGACACTTAATAAATATCTCTGCATGTCTTGGTCAAACACCCATGACCTGTAAATAGTTCCCCTATTGTAATAAACTGATGGGGCTTCACTGCTCACAGCAAAACTACCCTCTGAACACCATCTAGTAAAAATGAACAGAGTGCTTATTGGAAGAAGTGAAATTTTTGCTTGGAAAAATACTAGAGAGATTAGTGAAATCCTAATGTCTGGTGTAATAATAAAATAAGGATTTTGTTGTTGTTGTATGGTTTGGTTAGCACAAAAAGTTTCCTGTCTATGTTTGCATCATTCTGTCTCTCAGTAAATATTGTTTTCAAGCAAGTTGCAATGGGGGGCCTCCATTATGTCATCTACTCTGTCACCAGATCCCTATGTGGGCTGAAGTCATGACCTTTGGTGATCTGAGTGCACAGATCACATTACTAATTTACTGCTGAAATGGAGGAATTCGATTTTTGCTTGGTTAGTGCAGTTCCAAGTCCAAGTTCCACTACAAATCTTCTGCTGCCATCTTATGGCCATTGTATTTATTGTATTTAATAATACACTGCGTTTCTTTTAAATCATTTGAAAATGCAAATTCAGTGGCCTTTCTTTCTGATTCCCTTCATACTAAACATACACTAAGAGATCAGAAGGGAAAACCCAGGACATAATCTTATTAGTATGTGCAGCTGCACTGACATCTACGTGGGGCTGTTTATCATGATTGCCAAGATCTCACAGCAACACATCTCAGTTTCACTCTGTTTTATCTCTACACAAGCAGGAGAGGAGATGCCTCTGAATTAATTCACAAACCCTCCTGTGTACTCACTTTCAGCAGTCAAACAACGACTTCCTGAAATACAGCCCAAGATAGCAGAGAAATTCCAAAAAGGAGAAGTAGGTAGGCTTCATCTATCACTTTGTATCATTATTCATGCCATCATCTTATGTCCCCAGTGGTGACAGATATTGTCAGCAGCATCGACTGCTTTGGAAGCAGCCCAGTGTGAGACCTTTATGTCACCTCTCACCCTATTTCAGCAATATTTGGCAAATGCTCTCTGTCCACAGAATCTAAGCATCTGCACAAACATCTCTTACCTCAGGGAATCACACTATGTCTGGAGGTGCACCCCTCACCCAGCCTATCACTAGCAGGCCATGGAAAATGGTTTTTACTTCTCTGTGGTCAGAACCAAGGCCCTGACAGCTCTTGATTCTTTTTCCATACAGAATAGTTATCAGAGGCCATGGGGCTTTGAAAGTGAATAACTCTCTGCTGTTATTTGGGAGGGGTCTGGAAAGCAGCTGCTTTGAGAGGGGTTTGACTCAGTACAGAGTGTGCATTTACACACTCCTTTTGCACGTACCCAATATAAACAGTCCAACAAGGTGCTGCTCTGCAGTGGTGTAAGGGTAGGATTGGCAGCACATGATTAGAAAACTGGGGTGATAAGGAGGAGAAGGACAGTTAGGTTATCTCTGCTTCCAGATGGGATCCCAACCTACCCTGCATTTCTGTGGTGGCTTTATGAAAGCCAACTTCTTTAAAAGGTCTTTTTAAGCTCTTGACCAGGGAGTACTCATCTTGACACATCACTCCTCAGGGGACAACTGCCTTAGACTTCTCCAAGCCATGATTTTCTTCCCTTTTGCAAGACAAGAACACTGGATACCTTGGAATTAAAAGAACTGTCAAGGTGATGGACACTCACAGCAGCTGGATTTGGTACAACCAGACCCTTCCTTATGGATTGCGGGCACACTTCTACCAATAAATTGTCTGCTTGGATTGATTAATGACTTCTGAACTGCTGTGAGAATCTGATGAATGATCTTTGGTTGAAGAACTGTCACCAAAACCTGAATGCAAATTACAAACTGCAAAATTTTCCAGTTCAAGAAAAAAGGGAAAGAAACAGATGTAAATGACCTCTTCTTGAACAAAATGTTCTTTCCAGTGCCTTGGGTGGACTCTAGGAAGCTAGTGCTGCTGGGCAGCCTCCTGTTGCTGATGTCCTCACAAACATTGGTTAAAAGGGTAAATAAACATTGTTCTTTATTTGAAATGGTGAAACTGCCTACCTCACTGAAATAAACTTTTGATTTTTTTCCCATTTGAAACAGTTTCTTTAAGGAGTTTTGAGTTAAATTTTAACTTTTCTGCTTTCAGTTCCTCTGTTCCATTTCTTACCTGTCCTAATTCCTTTAAACTGCTTTGTTGGAAATTTCCTCTTGGTTAGAGACAGATGGTTTCCTACAGTATGTTTATGAGAGACCTCATGGAATTGTTCATCTCCGTTTCCCACCTGTCTCAGCTGAGGCTCTGACAAAAAGAGAGTGTTGTTGGATGGGACAGTGAAAATAACACTCTGTGTATTTTGATGGCCTTTTAGCTTTCGCTCAAAACAATTATGAATTCAATGAGAAATAAACCAAATCCCTGTATAGCTTATGGGCCAATATAACTTCAGAGGCTAAGAAAGGTATCAGTTTGGTTATGTGTTTAGGATGAATATTTGAGATTAAAGTGAATATCTAGCTACTTGTAAAATTCAAGTATTAACTGACTACAGCACTTGACTAGTCTACTTGGTGATCAAAAAGCAAAAGGAACAATACGATAAATCACACAATTTCTTAGAGATTTGGAAGGACATGAAGAAGACATTCACCTCTGGATGTTCAGGTTAATAATGGCCAGTCTTCGCGAGCGAAGATCCGGGGAAGGTCTTTCCACCTTCCAGCCTGCGCATTGGATTTTTTAGGTGAGACACAGTGTGCGCGGAACTGAGCCCACCCTTTAATCCTAAGGTTCATCTGCCGGGGCCAAGCGAGCTTGGACGGTGGCAGCGAGGTCCTTAGGACGTAGGTGGGTTGCCTTTAAGGGCTAACGAGCCCCACCTGCCCGGGAGTGGCCCTGACCGGGAATCGAACCCGGGTCTCCGCAGTGATAGCGCGGCGTCTTTACCACTAGACCAGCAGGGGCTCCATGTTCAGGTTACACTGCCCCTAACACATTATTTTGCTTATTCTTTCCCTCTTCAAAACCATTTAATAACCCTGGGCAGAATATTGATATAAATGGACCATGGGTCTGTCCTGCAGGCTTTATACCATCACCCTCTGAAGGGCCAACTCTCCTGAAGTTTTTAATGTGATTGATCCACATCAAATAAGAACTCTGGTATCCTAACTGGCATCTGACTGAGGTGATGTATAGGCAATAACCTGAGGTTGCTCACAGGAAGGTCTTGCCTAAGTTGCCTACCTGCCTTGCTTGCTCTGCCAGTAATGGCAAACGAACAAGAAAAGGGTAGAGAAAAACTTGGCTTGCATTTATGGAGATACACAAGAAGTTCATACTTCTGATGCTAATTTTAATTTGGTTTTATGTTACAGGCTATGTCCCACATCCTGATGGATATGGCGCTGAATTCTTTTGATGACCAGTATCTGGGATGCAGAGAGGAGATGATGGAAGAACTGGAGCAAGGAGACTATTTTCAAAAGGAAATAGCTGCTAACAAGGACTATTTGAGTCTCTGGAAGAAGGCTCAGGAGGCTTTGTTAAAGAGCCCTGTAGGTCTGCTGAGGGAGATGCATGACAGCCATGCCATAGTCCTCATGGCTTACACCATGAACTCTTCCCTGCACTCTCAGCTGAACTGGGCTACATCTACAGCAGGAATCTCTCCAGAGCACTACAGGCACAACTTCAGTTTCAAATATTTTCACTTTTATCTAACAACTGCCATCCAGATAATGAAGGAATGGCAGAGCAGCAAGGAAAACATGGGGAAACGTAAGTGCTACCAGGTACACAGGGGTGTAAAAGACTTATATATTGAGGCCACGGTAGGCAGCAGGGTGCGATTCGGCCGTTTCACTTCCACCTCCCGCCTCAGGAGTGAAGCCCAGAAGTTTGGGAATGAAACTTTGTTCACAGTGACCACTTGCCTGGGAGCAGCTATGCAAGGCTTTTCTTACTACACATCTGAGAAGGAAGTCCTCATTCCCCCTTACGAGATATTTCTTGTCAAAAGCTTTGTTCAGACACAGGACGGTAACCGGCTGCATCTGCATTCGGTGGGGAACTACAGCAAGTACCACTGCCAGCTGGTGGAAGGTATTGTATACTGCCTCTCACACATGGTGGGGACACAGGGCAGTCTGGTCTCCACTACCCCAAGCAGCCCTCACTGGCTGCACCTACACAGGATCACACTCAAGGCCAAATCTGTAGCTTGCCCACTATGAGAGCCAAATAACCCAGCCTTTACCTGTTTGCTGTGAAACCTGGGAGAACCCCACAGGTCAGTAAAGATGAAGCCACCTGATACACATCAGGTCTCAGGGTTCTTTGCAGCCTCCATTTATCCCAGGTGCTGTTGCAAGGATGTTGTAGGACTCATTCATTTGAGTCCCCAGTGTTCTTATTGCAAAGGCAGGTGAGATTTGCTGGCAGTTTGAACCCAGATATTTATGCTGGTGGCTTGCAAGGCTGCTACACTTCCAGCCTCAGGACTACTCTAGTCCACTACTACTTTGTCAAGCTACTACTTATCTTTGTCAAACTGAGATAAGTGTAAACAAATTATTGCTGCTTTACCCTGATCTCTCTCCTGAGATAGAAGGGAGAAAAGGTATCCTTTGGCAAGGAACACACTGAGCTTCCTGGCTATAGGGATAACTGTGCTGGAAGACCTCACTGGGCCTGTTCCACATCTCCATCTTTCTGTGAGTCTACTACCAATACTTGCATTTGTCTCTTTGGACAGTAATGTGTCAATGCAATCTTTGAACTTGAAACAATCATTCAGGAATGAGAGTTTGTTCCTGGAACCAAGCCAAGGTAGTAGATATAGTTGAGAAAATGGCTTTTCCAGGCAAAGATTGGGTTAGCAAATGCAGAAAACTTTACAAAGTGAAAAGAGTCCTAAATACTGCTCTCTTGATTTTTTTTTTTCAGCTTCAAGAAGTAAGAACAGTGGTCCCACTCCCATTGCCTCTGCCATTCTTCATAGTGTGGTTGCAGTTTCCATGTGCTTGGTCCACAATCTTTGATTCTCTGGCTGCATCCAGGGTAGCATACCCCTGAATAGCAGACAAGAAGAGTTCACAGGTATTCAGTCCTGGTGTTCCTGTTGCTACAGAAGGTTCAAACTTCCCTTTGCTTCCAGCTGTAACTCTCCAGCTAAGACTGGAACATTCAGTCTGATTCATCAAAACAGACATTCCCTGGACCCATTCAGGTAGGACGAAAGTTATCCACAGCCTTTCTGAAGACTAAGTCTGGGATACCCTTTACTGTAGGTAGCTTTTCCCTTAGGCTTTCAGGAAAGACACACAGGGACTTCAGACCCTTTATTTAGTACCTTTATTTTTAGTGGCAAAGAATATGGCTGATGGATATGAAAGGCACCACAGTGGTAAAGTTTTTCCTGGCTGCATGATGCCATGTACCACAGCTCTCATCTCAGGCTGATTGTCTGCATCTCACACACAGGGAACAGAAGCATGGAGCTGTGCTGAGACATGAACTTACTAGCAGAGAATCACAAGACTTGTCTTCATCTTGTTCAACTTTAAAATTCCTTTTGAAGAAATCAGACAGATTCTGGGTTCTGCAGTGGCCAGTAAATGCATGGTGGTAATTTCACACTAAAATGAAGGAGAGTCTGTGGAGCCTTACTGATATCTTCATGGGTGTTGAATGCGACAGATTTATTTACCTGCTTTTCTACTTTGCTGGTCTGTAATGTCTAATGCTGGAGGTTGAATCAACATCATGAACTGGAACTGAAACTTCTGATTTAACTATAGACTCCTCTCACTTTTATGCATTCATTTGGCACTTCTGGAGCCTTAGACACTCAAGGCTTAGAGCTATGGAGTTCTCCTATCTTCAAAAAATAACAGTGTGGAAATGATAAGGAACATTTTTCGCCTGCAATTCCCCTTTCCAGCATGCCTCATTTGCTTCTTCACCCCTGGCCCTTCAACCCTACTGATGCTAGCCCTGGGCTGAGGCTAAGGTCAGTGGGGTTATCTTACTGGTCTAAGAAGACCAGTCATGGTGGTTTAACTTTGCAGTGGAGTCATCCACTGAGCTGAAACTCACTGACACATTTCACAAATAACCCCAGCTTTTAGGCACTGATGGTCTTGGAAGGAAGCTGAAGTTCAGTATTCACTTCCCTGTCTGAAACAGTAAGCAACAACTTATTGTTGTTATCCAAAAGAGATCTGAACAGAAGAGGACTGCACAAGGTGCTGGTCAGCTGGTTAGTCAAAAATAAGGACTGCCAAAAGCACCTATATGAACTGCTTGACTTCTGAAGCAGCTCCGTATAAGTTTGGTGCTCCCATTTCCTTGGAAATCCTTCAGCAAAGAATACAGAACTTAGGTACAAGAGAAATATTAGCACTAGAAATGTAGACACTTAAGGAATTTGGATGTCATCAGGTTTTACCAGATTAAATGGCAGATCGCTGGGATGTAGTTCCCAACCGTTTTAACAAAGGCTTGAAATCCTTCACAAGGTGTCTTCAGCATCCTGAAAGCTTCCTCTGAGTAGTCAACTGTTCTTTTCACACTTTTCTTTATGGATCTGTGCTCTTAAGGGATAGGCTGAAGAAAAACATGAAGTGAAGAGGAGGGTAGAGAGCCAAGTCTGAGCTGTTTTGATGTTCGGCAAGGGGAGGAGCTGCCTTCTATGGTATTTGGTGTTCTCATTTTGTTGCAGCATTTTCACAGTATTAGCATAGTCTATGAGAAGTTCTGATGCTTGGAGGGATAAGACAGGCGAACTCAGTAACTGCTGAATAGCAGACTCTACTGCTTCAGGGAAATTGTCATATTTCAACATCACTGCAATAGGTGCACCGGTGGTGTTTTCTAGTGCCCCCTTGTAAATCTCAGAAAGTTCCTTCACTGCAGCAGTCTTGTCCTGCAGGGAGGTGATGGGACCAGGAATCTTAGCATACAAAGTGTGGCTGATGCTTTCCTATACATCTTTGTCATTTGTTTCCATGGTGACTTGCATATCTTTCAAAGCCCTGACCAAGGGCAGCTTTCCTTTAATGCTGAAGTGTTCTTTCACTGGCATGATGGGGAAGTTGGTGCACAATTTTGCACTGAAGAGTGAGAATATTGTTGGTTGAAGGCAGATCCTGTACAGCCTTTTTTTATCTTAAAACCAACGTGGGCTAACATTTCTGGAGTAGGATCTGACTCTGAAAAGCAAAGAGAAGAAATACAGAAGAGGCTATTACAGTAGAGTTACAGGGAAATAAAAGTGGATACATTTTTGGCTACATTTCTGAAACCAGTTGTACAAATTACCAACCCACCTGACCCATCCTTCCCCAAGAGATCAGAAGAAAACAAAGAAAAAGCTCTTTGACAGCCTTTTCAGGAGTCCTACCAAGCAGGCCAGCAAAATGTGATGTAAACAGCTGCAAGTATCATTAATCTTCTGGCTGCAGGAATTATGACTTTGACCTTTAGCATGCAATCTTTAAAGTAAGAGGAGTGCTGTAAATGAATTATTCTCGTGTTTTGGTGTTTATTGGTAGATTTATGTGAGTCCTAGACAGCGATCTACTTTACATCATCCTTAGAACTATAATCCTTCAGTTTGTATGTACTGGTGGGTGTACACATAATTATACTCATATTCTTGGGAGGGGGGAATAAACACAACAAAATCAAATGCACAACATTATATTCAAGAGACAAAGCAATTGAAGACTGAGTAATTCAATGTTTTGGCAGGCTACAGTGCTATGAGAAGTGACCTTATCAGCCAGTTCATACAGTGACTAGATGATGCAAGCATCCCTTGATAGGTGGAAGCACAAAACATTCTCCTTGCTTGGGGTTCCATCTTGATGCCATTTAGACTGCTAAGAAAGTTATGTCCTTCTGCTTGCACCTAAGAATTCTCCCAAGGCCAACTGCAGATACAGTCCTGGGATAGTATACTGTTGTTTTTGCTCGTGCCAGAACCCTGTAAAGCCAGACTGGTTGCAGCTGACACAGCTATTGCTGTGGTTAGATGTGTCCAAGCAGTTGCAACTTCCCATCCCACTATATACTTTCAAAGATGTTTTTCTCAGAGCTCAGTTCAGCCCTCTGGCTTTTCCTGCATTTCTTTCCCATGGCAAAAGTAGTCTGAAATTGTGTGAAATAGCAAAATTGATTTTAGCCTCCACTGCTGTTCAGAGCTGGGTGTGTGTCTCTGCACCAATTCTTCCATTCTCATGGCATCAGAGGCCTGGCAAAGTGCAGTAAAAAAGGATGACAGATACTCCAAATGAAGTATATTCCTCAAACTTAATAGGTCTGGAACAATAGCTAATAATTTTCCCTAAAGACACAAAGTAAAGCAGAAACAAAACTGCTTATATGTTGTTCAAATGATTTTCTGTCATATTCCATATGATAGAGGCTCTAGAAGAGAATTTGCATCCACTGCAAACACTGAAGACATGAAAACAGTTTCCAGCCTATAGAATGGGACACAGAGGCAGTTGCCAGCCTGATCAATTCAATCCAATTCAATTCAGTCCAACATCAGAAGATATTCAGGACTACACATCAGCCTCAGTTAAAAATCAGGAGTCACAATTAATTTAAAATTCCAGAAAGGTAGTAGTTAAATCATTTAGCGCTCTCTCTCAGCTCATCTTCTGATGCCTACAGCTCTGACAGAGAGTTTGGCACTGTATTCATATGAGTTGAATACAGCAGCTCAGCTTTCAGATGAAAACAAGTTAGCATGGTAGAGTATTCATTTTATGCTTGATCTTATGCTTTCATCTGAGAACTCAACCATTCTCTACAGGGGAAGCAGTATTCCTGACCAGACCCCTGAGGGCTGCAGGTTCACCTTTCTAAGGATCAGAGCATGAAAGATGTTTTGTTTGGTTGAAGATAGAAGTGCAAACTTATCTTGCTGGGAGAGACAAAGCCAGTTTTCACTGTCTGTGGTATCTATTTTTCTGTTTTTGTGAGACTGTTCAGCTTTTCTTCCATAATTCACGGGTATAAAAAAGCAGTCATTATTTCAAGGCATAGTTGCAAACATTAATGTTTATATTTCTAAAGAATAGAAATTTATAAATCCCAGTGAAAAACTTAATCCTGTATCTAGTTGAACAAAAAGTGCTGTCCTACACCATTTGTATTCTGAGAACAGAAAAGAACACCACCCCCTTTCAGCCATTTCTGTATGGACCTGTGATGCTACCTCTGTTGCAGGTAGGAGGGATTTGTGCTGTACCCATTCCCTCCAGGAACAGAAGGTCTCTGGAGAATCTAACAATTGGGAACTAGCTTTAAGTAAACTGAATTCTGTTAAAATTGGAAGGAAGGGGAAAGAAGGAAGAAAATGAGATAAATCTGGATAAACATCACACAATAGAATTAATGACAAGCAGGCAGGCAACAGGATGGAGCTGAAGCCCAGCCTCCGGATCCCTAACACATCACATGCTGCTGGAAAACACCAGACGAACACAGGGGAAAGAGGCTGAAATTACTATCCCATACACATTTCAGCAGGAGCAATCAGACAAAATCAGGTAGGCACTCTAAATGTTTAATTAGAAAAGTTTTTGCAGAAAATCTACCTGGAGCTGGAGAAATTGTTAGAAATATATGTGGCCTGCCTAACTCTAGAAAGTAAATGTAAAAACTAGCAAAAGTGAAGACTAAGAAGTAATCTTAGCATTAAGAGACATAAAATGTAGAACAGCTATAAGAAACTGAAATAATCATGCATGAATAATAGAAGCTAAAAGTCTCCTCCACACCTGCCTAGAATGTAAAATGTTTGTTGAAGTGCTATTCCTTCTAAAACATTTTGTCTGCTCAGTTTCTACAAATAAGGAAAACAAATTACCTTACAACAAAACACTACCGGAGTAGAAAGGTTCTAATACCACACTGAGTCAGAGAGCAAGTCAGCAACATCCCTGAGGCAGGACTGATATGAAATCATAGCTTGCATTGACATGGCTTTATGTTTCCTGAAAATCACAAACCTTTACTGTATATGTACTTTGCTCCCTACAGCTTGAAGGAAAAGATGTGTTAAAGAGTTTATTCTCTTGACAGAGCTACAAGGTAAGTGGCTAACAGAAATGCACGGTACTGTGCAAAATACTGTGGAAAAAAATCTCTTCAGACTAGCTTGTATTTCAATACTGAGATTAAAAGTTGGCAGGGGACTGTTGAAATCATTCTGGTTTTCTACTGTGACCTTGTGGGGGAGGGTGTGTTTAGTAAAATACAGCTGGGTCAGTGTCAGATGATTTGCAGTTAACAGATAGTGCAAGAACTACAAAGGACCAAAAGTGGCACAAAGGCATCTTTTTAAGAAGAAAAATCTAGGTAGTTCCCTACACATAACTATTTGTAGCTCTAACTGTGATATGTAGGCACCAACGGCAAGAAGAGGTTTATGTTGAAAAAAATGCTAAGCACTTGCCACAAAAGTGGCCCAGATTTGCAATAAAGGGCTGAGAACATAAGAAGTACCAACAAAGAAATAAGTCATCCTATTCATTCATAGTTTGCCCACGTTGTTAAGATTTTTGCATTTAAGTCAAAACCATGCTAAAGCATTTTCACTTTGCAGCTGGTGATGCGGTCAAAGGGAAATGGCACTGTGTTGATTATGGAATCTTAGTGATGAGGAGTAACTCCATGATCGCAGGGAACTCAGTCTCTTTGGACTCTGTATATTGACACACAGGTTATGAGGAAATACATATTAAATATTCCCTTTTGCTGGCAAACCAGCAACAGCTCAGAGAAGAATGGTGACCATAAGGATTAGACACAAGGGTTTGAGAGGAGTTAAATTTTGTGCTCTGCTCTGTACAGTGATAAGGTCAGATTCTGCTCAGTCATGTCCTAGGAGCTTGGTGAGCACCTGCAGATATTGGCTCCGCATGGAAGAATGGGAATGGAGGGAGTGAGGCTGTGCAAGCAGGGCAAGCTGGTGTGTGCTGCTCCGAGGCAGTTCTGCCATCACAGACAGCCTGGTGTAGGTGCACCTCATGGTGCTTACACGGTGTGCTGAACATCACAGCGCTGTCTGCAGTGGTTTGCTGTTCAGAGTGAAAAAACAATGGGGGAATCAATTACAGCATTAGGGAGGTGAATAAACAGTGAGGGGACGGCCTAAGTATCAGGGAAGGAAATACAGTGGGAAATGTGTGTAAGGTCACATAGGTTAGGATAGGTTTATTATACATAATTTTCCTATTCTGTATGAATTCCCAGGGGTAAGTTTATTAGTATAAGCACAGAGTGCTTATATAGTAATATTTTCTCTTGAATGTTAGAGCAAAAAAGCTACACCGGCATAAAACACCCTTATGGTGATACAGACCATGTCCACTCCACCAATCATCACAGTTGCTGAAAAATCAGATGCCACTAAACTGAAAAAATAGGCTGATACAGAATTGTGCCTAGAACAGGCCTTTAATTTCCACAGCTTATTTTAGATTTTGCTGATTAGATGAGATTGTTCCATTTTTTAGTGAACTAGTTCAGCTTCTACTATCTTCAGTTTCCAAGGTTCCAATTTCAGTTTCAATCTTCAGTTTCCAGTGAACTGTGTTCTATTTACAATTTATGCCAATTACATATTTGTTACCTATTTTTGCTGTTCCAAGTATACTCAGTGTCTTAAAAGGTCCTTTTCCAATTATTTGTCTAAAGATCCAAAGCAAGAATTAAGATTTGTAAGATATGCCTTGGGATTTGACCTGCTGAGTATAAAAAGAACCAGTGAGGAAGAGACAGAGCACATTTCAGTGCTACAGTTACAGGTGTTGAGCAGAGTAAGAGATTTCTTTTCTCTCTTGCAGTAGCCTTTTTCTGAAGAATGGCATTGAGCGATCTCCTTTACCCAGACAATCCCAAGAGAAAGCAAGAATTGATCAATTTGCATCAGGAATTGCTTGAGTGCATGTCCACAAATTTCCGTGCAACAAATGAGCTGGTTGGAGTGCTGAATGAACACCTGGGATGTACCATTGCCCACATCCAGATGAGAGAGAGCAGCACTGTCAAGGAAAACTGTGACATTATCATTCAAGTGATGAGTGAGATTCAGCATCAGGTACAGAAGATTGATAGTGACATGAAGGAAAAGCTCGAGCCAGTGCTGTACCAGAAGCTATATGACATCAAAGAGCCTGAGTTGGAGAAAATTGCAATAGCCCAGAAAGTGTTTTCCATTATTCTTGGAGAAGCAACTTCAACAGCTGGGATGGTAGCTATCAAACTTCTTGGCTCCAATCTTTTAACTTTCACTGTGAGCAACCTCATCAGTCTCCTTGCACAGATTGGGGCATCTGTTCTTGGGGGAATTAGCATTACCATTATTGGCCTTGGCATTGAAATGATCCTCCATGCCATCCTGGGAGCTGTGGAGAGGAATCAGCTTCTGACAGCTGTGAGAAGCTATGAGAAGCACCTGGCTGAGTTTAAAGCAGCCTCAGAAAAGTACCAGCGTGCCATACATGAAGTGACTTCTTTGGTGAGACAACAAGCTCAGTGAATGAAGTCAGAGTTCTCTCTTCTCCTGTGACAGTGGCTGCAGCAGCTATGCCTGAAGTAACCTTTTGATTCATTATGGCAAATGAACTACTGATGGCTTTTTTTTTTCTTATTAGTGGCCTCAGAGCAAGAGATGTGACAATTCTGAGAACTGGCAATGATATATATTAATAGGAAACTGGCTCATAGGTGTTTCTGGGAGGCAGCATTTCAAATACTTTGTACCTTTCCTTCACTATTTTCTGGAATGCGTTGTAGATAACCTTGAACTGAAATTCATACTAGTGACAATAATACTCACTGCTGGAGCAGTGGTGGTGAGGAGGTGTGATTTTGCTCTATGTTTCTATATCAAAGATATCAACATGATGGGAGAAAACAAGTTCAACAAGGCAATCTGTGCAAACATCTGGAGGCTTCATCAGGACAGCTGTGGTTGCTAAACTCATAGTGTGGATTAGTGCTAAATCTGATAGACTGGATTCCCTGTTCCCTGAACTACTTATAAGGACTAGCTGAAGCATATTTAGCTGCTATTTCCTGTCCCATCCCTGCCTAAGGAGCCAGCCAGAGATCTTCTTTAAATAAACTCTAATCCCAGTAGATTGGCAGGTAAGAGAAGCCTGGGCCTACAGGCACACACACACACAACCTTGCCCCAGAGCTGAGAGAAACCAGCTGCCACATTCCAGGCGTGCCTGGCTGTGAATAACCTCTTATGCTTGGTAATACTCTGCTCCTGCAAACCCACAAGTAAAAATTTCTTTGCAAAGCTGCTGTTCTGTTGATTAAAATGGAATCATACACATGTACAAGTGCCTGTAGGATTGCAGCCCTATTAATGCACTGAAGTTATTTTCAGATGCTTTACCCAGTCCCACCAATGTGAGACTGCCAAGAGTGTGCTCAGATTGTACATTTCACAATATGCTACCAAATGTCCTTATTTTTCAGATTTTAAAACAAAAGCTGGAAGCAAAACCATGATTTGTAGTCTCTTGCTCTGATTTGCTGTGGATTGCTTTCTTTTGATCTTAGAAAAAAAGATAATTTAAAACTTAATAAAAATGCACAATTGGAAGATCTTTCTTTTCTGTATTTTTTTTTTGTTCTGAAAACCCAATCTTAAACCAAATAATGAACAAGTATTAAAATCTTCATTACAAATGCAAATTTTAAATTTTATATTTTTTTTATATCCATGATAGACTGAACTAGTTGGATTGTGTATAGGTTCCTTTTTTAGTACCAGCTTCCCCCAAACTAAAAGCATGTCCAAATTCATATGTTTGTTAATATTCAATATTATCAATAGTAGTTTATTATTAACTAGATTGTGCCTGTGAAAGTAAAGAAATGGGTGAGATTACAAAAGGGAAGTTCTAAGTAGGCTGCACAACCCTTCCATTATGGGTTCTTTTTTTTTCCCCTCCCCCACTGGTCTCACTTTAATCATCTTTTCTGACTCCGCTTTTGTGCTCAAAAGCCACTAGATGGCGACGAAACTGCTAGCACTAAACAGCTCTGCCAGCCATCAGGGAGAAAGCCCACAGTTCAGGAGCATGGGTGGGTGCCAGGAACTGAGAAACTGAGACCAGCACAAGCCGCACACTGGGCTATGTGCATCAGGAGAGGCAATTCAGAGGAGGCAAAAAGCACTGCCTTGCGTGCATGAGGTATTGTGGTGGATGACATGGTGACCTGAGGCATCATTTCTCCACAGTGTGACATTTTCTGTCTCCTGACACAAGCGGCACTCAGTTCAGAGGTACTTACGTGGAGTCAAGAGACTGTCAATCTGCAGAACAGCAGTATCTGAGTGTTGGAGAGATAGGAGTTTCTGACTCCTGCTTTCTATGTGCAAATGTGTGTTCTAAACTAGGAAGAAAACCCACCAGCTCTTTGTGAGATTCCCAATCACAGCTGTACAAGAATAGTGGAGTCAAATAAAAATTAATCTCCTTGTATTTTTCAGGCAGTTTGTTCACATTTTCTTGAAAGCAATGTCAGGGGAAGTGGGATACACAATGAGGAACACAGAGATATACAATTTCTACTCAAGTCTATCCATATCCTCATTCCTAGTGGACTTAAAGGAAAGCTGGCTACCCCACCACAGAATTAACTCTGGCCTTTCTAACCCTCTGGCCAGTCTTACACTTGGTGTTCCAAAGGTGTCATAACCCATCTGCTGATGTTTCTTCTCTACACTCCTTGGAGCTGCGCCTTGGTGTGACAGAAGTACCAAGTGAAAAATGTGAGAGAACTACTGCCCAAGTCAGCAGACACTGTTGGGAGAAAGCAGTCAGGGCTGAGGCAGCACAGCTGTCCCCACTGAGCCTAGTGTTCCCATAACAGAAAGCCCCAAGCCTTGGGAGGTGCGACTAATCTTCAGAAATTCATCCGTCCCCCTCTCCAGTGACATGGTGTATGACAGGGATGTGCATGGCCACAGCTTTACATCACACTCCCTCAAGGATTCTCCCTTTGCTCAGGCTGCTGTTCTGGACAAAGGATTAAGAATTAAAACTGTGATATATGTGTTCCAAGTCAGAACAGCCTCAAGGAAGAAAAGGAACTAAAGCAGCCCAAGCCAGTCTAAGCTGCTTTCAAACCTGTGTGGAAAAACAGAATGGTTGCAAGCAAAATCTGCCCTGCAGAAAATTCTTTCTGGTAACAAGAATAATGTAAAGAGAACGGGCCAAAGAGGCACAAGGTGGGGATGACTCTGCTCTGTACATGGTTAGAAAGACTTGCTAGGCACTGAGAGCTCCTGAAGCCCTGGCTCCGAGGATGCTCCTGGACTAGCTATCTGCTAACTTGGATTTTGTGCACTGTGCGATGGATGTTGGCATTATTATGATACACGGCTTCCAGTCTTTTACCCATCCTGCAATGATCCTTCATCAACTTCCAGTTTGCCAACTGAGACTCCATTATCTGAAAAACTGTGACAACGTTGTCTCGCATGGCATGTTCACCAGGATCAGGGGGGTCTACAAATCTGACTCAGAGATCTGACCACCTCTGTTCCCAGGTGCTGCCTGTGCAGAGAAAACTGTCCTTCCTACACCTCTTGCTGGCATGCTAGTTCTTTAATCCTGCACCTGTATTTTATTGCTTGCACCCTGATGTTTCATGTATCTTTATCCTGGTTCTTTGTGTACTGTGGACTTTTTGCTAGAAATTGTACTTTGGACAATGTCGCAGAACAGCTCCTACAAGGTGTTCACCAGCCTCACCCGTTCATCACAATGGGAGCTGCAGGAAGAGACAAGTAACAGAGTAGCTCCTGTGCTCCCCGATGGGACCAAACTTTCTCCGGTTCCCTTAGCACAGTCTGAGCTGCCTGATGAACGTCATCCAGTCACTTTTTCCCAGTAGTCCCGTGGAAAGGCAACTTGCCCAGGAGCCCGAGAAAGGGACGCCAGCCTCGCTCACAGGGCAGCAGCGCTGCCTCGAGGCCAAACCCTACAACAGACCCCTGGGACGGACCTGAGGCTGTGGGCAGCTCCCTCCTGCTCCCGCAGCACTTTGCGTTTATTTCCCCATGGACAGTTCTCATTTTTACAGGGAGGGGGGAGGTGGGCACTTTGTGGGATCTCCGCTGGAGAGTGTGGGAGAACAGCGGCCTCGGCGACCGAGTTCACAGGCCTTCCCTTCTGTCCCTATTCCCGCACTGGCCTATTCCGGTCTATTTCCAGCGCTGGCCTTGCCGGCGTAGGGCTCTCTCACCCGTATCCCTCCCGAGCCCTGTCTTCATTCGCTCTCAGGGCTCGGTGGGGCTGGTTGGGCACAACCTGTCCCTGTCCCTGTCCCTGTCCCTGTCCCTGTCCCTGTGCCAGTCCCTGTCCCCGCTCCAGCCCCGCCTCCCGGCCTCGCCCCCAGCCGAACCACAGAGTCGGAACCTCCGAGGGGGAGCGAGGGGCGGCGGAACCATAGAGTTGGGGCGGCCCCTTCCGGAGCGCGGCTCCGCGCGCCGCCACACGGTGCCGGTGCAAGATGGCGGCGGGGCCGCGGGGCTGAGAGCGAGGCCGCGGCTGCACCGGGAGGGAACCGGGCCGGGCCCGACCCGGCCCGGCGGAGGGGTGAGAGCGGTGGGAGCGGTGGGAGCGGTGGGCTTGGAGGAGAAGGGAAGCGAGGAGAAGGCGGCGGTTTGCGCTCCCGCCTTCTCTTCCTCCTTCCATCGGGGGAGGAGGAGGGAGGGCTTTCTGCCCCGTTCCTTAGTGACCAAAAAAAAATCATAAATTTAGTGCTTGATTTTATTTTTTTCTCCCCATCTTTGTCTGTTAACTTGTTGCATTGAAACTCTTTGGTTTGGGTCCTAAGAAGATTTGGGATGGAGGTTTCAGAAGTTTGTTCTCTTTACCCTTTAAATGGTAGAAATGTGGGAAATACGGGGTGTAAATGTAACTGCTGCTTCTGTTTGGTGAGCTTCCCACCTAAAGAAATTATAGTGTCTTGCAAAAAACCACCATTATTTTGTCAGGGAATTAGGTGTGGAGGTAGAGGGAGAGCAAAGCTGAGAGAGAAGAAACATCCCGGGCTGTAGTTCGAACACCTGGATAGGCGTCTGTAAGGTCAAGGAATGCCAAAAGACAGGAAATAACCTTTTCCAGAATAACCCTTTCTTTGGTCATCACAACACAGCCTGAAATAATGCTGATGGAGGCAGAGAGCACGGGTGGGCTCTGGGGAGGCGAAGAAAACGTGGATGTGTGCGGCACACCTGCTGGTGGAGACAGTGGGATCTGGGGAGGGACAGCAGTGGCAGATTGGATTCTGAAGAAGGGAGGACATTTTGGGGGGGAAACATTTGAAACAGAGAAAGGTGAAAACTGGAGAGCTCTTGTGAGAGTAAATGAGAAGCTGAACTCTGATACGCTCTTAGAAAAATAGAATGTGTGTCTCTACCTCCCCTGCACCCCTCCAGAGTCTAAGCACAAAGCTTCGTGGTTTGAGTCTTACTGTGAATAATGACAAACTTATTGATTAGTTTAAAATTATTACTTAGTGAAGGAGTAGTAAGTCGGTACTTAGTTAAATTAGTAGTATTTAGTTAGAGTACCTTGAGCTTGGAGTTGGGTGTGAGGACCTTGTAAGTGTTTGAGCTCTTTGAGGGCGCAACCTGTTGATGCAGAGAGAAGAAATAATCATAACTAAGCTACCAGTGACCTGAAAGCATATCATCTTTTCCAGGTCTCTCCCTATTTTTCAAGTTTGTTTTTTTGAGGCAGAAGAAAAAAGATCAAAATGGGGCGGAGATCTACATCATCCACCAAGAGTGGGAAGTTTATGAATCCCACGGATCAGGCCCGTAAGTATCCATAAAAGCTAAGCAGATGGGAATGGAGGGTGCTTTTGGAAGCAGATAAAAAGCTTTCTCTGATGATAAGATCCTCACTCGTGAATCAGGACTGAGTTTCCCTAACTTGAAAAACATCTCAGTCCTGGCTGAGGCTTCTTGCTTTCATGCTGCTGCTTCTCTGAGTATTTCCCTCTTGGTTCTCACTGTGGTTATCAGTTTGTACGTAGCTGTTAGCTAAACTGCAGGCTGCTTTCTGGGACACAGTTAATCTGACTGAGGCAGGAATTTGAGGAACATGTCGAACTTTTGTAGGTGCTCTGGTTAGATGAGGGAGTTGTTTTAACTGTTTTTTTGCTTTTGCTAACATGTCAGATGTTATCAAGGCTAAGTACATAAAGAAAATCCAGAAATTCCACGTGGTGGAAATGCTTTGTTTCAGATGCATACTCAAAGCTTAGATATTTTTCAAGTGTGTTGTCTGTTGACTCTGTTTCAGCTTCTGTGCAGCAATCTTTTCATGGTTACACATATCACTATGACTTCTGCTGCCTATTATTCTATTTTTTGTATGGAAGAAGTCCTGCTTCTGGAAACATGAAGGCTGCAGTATCTCTTTTTTTTTTTTCTGTATAAAACACATGAAACAGAAATCTATTTCATGCTGTATTTCTCTCTCAGTGGGAAGTTGAGTTACAGCTACAGTCTTTGTAAGATGAGTGAGCCGTTGAGAAACAGCACTAGTCTTGATGAAGAAAAGAT